GGGGGCACGGGCAGTGGGGCACGGGCAGTGGGGCACGGCTGTGGGGTGTCCGGCTGAAGGGGAGGAAGGCGGGTGGACAGCAGCGATAGCGGCAGGGGGAAGGCGGCGCAGGCTGGAGTTGCGGACTGGGGGGGGCTGCAGGACAGGAGGCAGACGGGGGGGCAAGGTCAGGGGGCAGGGCTGGGGGTGCACGTTTGTGGGGTGCCGGACGCGGGCAGGGTGTGGAAGGGGATGCAGGGACGGGGACGTGTGACCCGGGGGTCGCCTGATGACCCCCCAGGAGGTGCCCTGCTCGGGGCAGCGCTGCCTGGGGTCGCTGGTGCTGCCGCGGCCGCTGCCCGCCCCCACCCCCGAGGGGACGCGACCGCCCGAGGAGCTGCTGGAGCTGGCCCGGGACTTCATCACGCAGTACTACGTGTCCCTGCGGCGGTGAGCACGGACGGGACCCCAACAGCGGGCACGGGCACCCTGCGGCACCCACAGCCCAGCCCCAGCCCTGCCCCGGGCACCCCATGGCCCCATCTGCACCCCACAGCCTGGGCCCCCCCTGTGCCAAGGCACCCCACAGCCTCGGGGCACCCCATAGCCCCACCCCTGCCCAAAACACCTCCATATTCCTGTCCCGGGACACCCCAAAAACCCACCCCTGCCGCAAAGTACCCCCAACCCCATTCCTGCTCGGAGCACTCCACGTGCCCATCTGCACCCAGGGTACCCCCGTAGCTCCTGACATGCCCTGGGGTGCCCCATATCCCCACCTCTCCCCCAAAGCACCCCCGGATCCCCCATCCCTGCCCATCGGTGCCCCAGAGCGCCCCGCAGCCCTGCCGCCGCTTGGCCGCCCTACCCCCGAAGGCGCCGGCGTCTGGGGGTGCTGGGGGCGGTCCCGGTGTCTGCGGGCGCTGAGGGTCCCCCCGCAGGGAGAACTCGCCGGCGCACACGCAGCGGCTGCGGGAGGTGGCCGCCGCCATCGCGGCCTCGGGCTCGTACCGGCTGCGGGAGCCCGAGCTCGCCTTCGGTGCCAAGCAGGCCTGGCGGAACGCGGCGCGCTGCGTCGGCCGCATCCAGTGGAACAAGCTCCAGGTGCGGCCCCACCCGCGACCCCTCACCCGCCGCAGCCCACGGGGACCCAGCGCACCCCAGACTCCCGGGGACGCCAAACCAAAGGCAGCCCAACGCACCCCACAGGAGCCCCACCCCATCTCCCGGGTACCCACAGGGGCCAACACCCCCGCGGTCACCCCCACACCGCGGGGACCCTCAAACCGTGCCCCGTGTCCTGGGCTGACCCCACACGGCACAGAGACCCTGCCTAGCACAGGGACCCAGGGGACCCCCACTCACGGAACCCCGTCCTACGGGACCCCGGTTCCACAGGGAACTCCCGCCCCACAGAGACCCCGCGCCACCCCGGCCCCATGGGGACCCCTGTCCCAAAGGGCCTCCCGGCCTGCAGAGTCCCCCCGGGGCTCCCATCCCAGCCGCCCCGCAGGGGTCCCGCACACGCACCCTGTGCCCCCGCAGGTGTTTGATGCCCGGGACTGCGCGGGGCTGGGGGAGATGTTCAGCCTCCTCTGCTCCCACATCCAGTTCGCCACCAACCGCGGCAACATCCGGTGAGAACCCCCCCGGCGCCCCGCGGCCCCCGCGGCCGCAGGCTGCCCTGACGGCCCTCCCGGCCCCCAGGTCCGCCATCACCATCTTCCCCCCGCGGGCTCCGGGCCGCGGCGATTTCCGCATCTGGAACCCGCAGCTGATCCGCTACGCGGGCTATCGGCAGCCCGACGGCTCCGTGCGGGGCGACCCTGCCAACGTGGACATCACCGAGGTGGGGGCACCCTGCGCCCCCAGGCCTCCTCACCACCTCCCCATCCCTGCTCTATTCCCTCTCCATCCCCGCCTCAGTCTTCCCTCCACGCCGCCCTCCATTCCCCCTTCATCTCTCTTCCCTCTCCCTCCTCACGCTGCTCCATCCCCCTCTCCATCTGCCCCATCCCCTTCATCTCCCCCCAATGCGTGCGGCCCCAAACACCTCCTGGGCCGCCCCTGACGCTGTGCCCCCCAGCTCTGCATCCAGCACGGCTGGACCCCCGGGGGGGGCCGCTTCGACGTGCTGCCGCTGCTGCTGCAGAGCCCCGACGAGTCCCCCGAGCTCTTCCCGCTGCCCCCGGAGCTGGTCCTGGAGGTGCCGCTGCACCACCCCACGTGAGTGGGGCTGCGACCCCCGGAATCTCTCTGGCCGTGGGACTCTCCCGGGGGTCTGGCCTGGAGTCCCAGGGGTCACCCCTGGGGAGGGATCGGAGAGGGGATGGAGCCCGGGGAACCGCGCTGGGGAACGGAGCAGCCGTGGGTCTGACCCCATCCCTGGCGGATCCTGGAACGCCGGCTCCTCCTGGGGTTGCTGCCCCCCTCCTGGGCTGGCTTCTGGGCTTCTGGAACACCGGGGTGCTGACCCTGGCCCTGACGGAGCCATCGCTGTGCTGACCCTCCCTGGGTGGGATGCGGGCGGGACGGGGGCTGCGGGGCCGGTGTGGGCGTGTGAGGGCGCGGCCACAGCCCCCGTGCCCGCAGGCTGGAGTGGTTCTCGGAGCTGGGGCTGCGCTGGCACGCGCTGCCGGCCGTGGCCAACCTGCTGCTGGAGATCGGGGGGCTCGAGTTCCCCGCGGCGCCCTTCAACGGCTGGTACATGGGCACCGAGATCGGCTCCCGGAACCTCTGCGACCGCCACCGCTACAACGTGCTGCCCGTGAGCCCCCGGCCCCGCGGGAC